CATTTGCAAGTACAACCATGACACACTGTTTCATACATACATTATAATATTTCTGGTCAAAATGAGAAAAATAAAGGTAATATGTTCCTATTACTTTAGTTCAGTCCCCATGCCTCCAGGCTTGTGTGTTCACTTTCAGGCCACACATGTATAAAAGTTCTTTTGTTGAGTCAGTTATCTCAGTGTGTTCCTTACTAATCTCCTTCCAACTTCTAATTGGAACCGCAATTCATAGGAGACTAGAAAGCTGCATTCATTTGTCTTGCTAACTGTTAAATGTGTTCCTGTTTGAGTAAAGCCATCTGTCCGTCTTGGAAATCAAAGTTTGGGTGCCAAATTCTTAAAAAAAAAAAAAAAAGATTATTTATTTATTCCATTTTACTCATCTCTCACATTTCCTAAGTTGTTCCTCACATTTGCTTTTTTCATCTCCCCAGTTCTGTTAAAGTTAGGAAAATTATAAAAGCAACTTGCATGTCACAAAAATTAAGCAGGCGTGTCAGATGATAGCACTTTAATTTCAACCAAAGCTTATAACATCTCATGCAATATCACTTTAGTATTGTTGGGTGATGTGACAGCTGACCCTTGTAGCTAGAAATAGCTGAATAAACACTTTAGAAATTGAAATCCAAACAACCTAATTACTCAAAACCTTACACTGGCTTGGACAGTTTGTATCCCTGCATAATGCTTATGGCTACTGATATTTATCTGGGAAGATAGGGTGCATTCATGCTGCTTTTCTTCCCTGGCTTTCAGCATTAACCTTTAGCTGATATTTGCAATGTGTGCAATGAGTGTGACTGTGTTTTTTGACATTTGTTAGACAGCGACAGTGATACCTGTCGACTTAGCAGAGACAAGTGAAAGGTCAGTGTGCTCCTGGTGCTTAGAGGTTCAAGGCTCAGGGCAGCATATTCAAGCCTGAGGCTAAAAATCAATCATGCTCTTCAGAGGTATGAAAGAACTCCACACCTTGTAGCTGTGATTTAGAGGAGGGAGAAAAAGAATAGCAGGATAGAATGACAGACAGATGCACTGAAATAGAGCGGGCTGAGGTTGCTTTTTTAAATGTAGATTTGAAGTGAGTTGTGTCAGTGAGAGGGAGATTTTACAGCTAACCCTTTAGATGAGTCAGTTGTTAGCACTTCTATCACTTGTATATGCTGGGAAAACAACAAATGCAAGAAAGCTGCTGTATTCTACCAAAGCATGTCCATCTGCATTTTTAAGTGAGAATTGCAACCCTGTCTGAAATGTAATATGAATACGGTATTATTGCAGCAGGTACAGTATGGCCCAACATCTGCTGTCTTCGACTACCACGTAATGACTACCAACCTACTCCCATAAAGGGAAAATAATGGGGTGACATTTAACTTTGAAATTATATTCACTATAGTAAAAAGGCCAACTATGGAAATATATTGGAGCAGTAACAGGTACTAAAGTCTATCAAGTTTACTTGGATACACAAGCGTACAAACACGTACCTTATACGAAATAATACACAAAACACAGATGTGCTATCAATATGTAAACATTGACACATACATAAAAAAATTGTACAATCAAGGTCATTTGATTAAAGTGAGCACAGTGTCCACTAATCAAGTGAGGAGAAATACAGAAATGTGTAAGCACACACAGACACACACACAAATTCACACGTGTATATAAACAGAAATTTGCCCCGTCACTGAAGAGAATAATGAGTGCTACTGACTAGAGAGAGGAGAGAAGCAAAGGGAAGACAAACTGACAGAGAAATACAAGCTGGGGTTGTGCAAAATGGGGGAGTAACAGAAGGAAGATGAGGACAGGAAATGACAGAAGCAGTGAGGCAAAGGTCCCATGTGATGTAGAGTAGATTTAGAAGGGGAAGTGCAGTGGTGAAAAGCCTGCTCAGACCACAGGTTTGCAAAATCAGACAAGAGAAGCATCCGCAATACAAGAAGGGAGACTGTGTTAGATGGTGGCTTACCCCTCCTCATCTCCTGTCACACAAACAGGGATAAACATTCACTCCCTTCTGCAAAATTTTGACCAAAACTTAATATTGTTGTGCATGCACCTTAGGTGTAATTGACACATTTACTACAAAATAAAAAATACATGGGAAAAGCCATTAAATGATCAGAACATTTGTTGAATTTGGCTTGAGTGATTTTTGATTTCTATTTGGCAGAGTTAAGCACAATCCTACTGTACAAATATATTTGTACATCAGGCAGATCCGTCTACCAAACCAAAGAAAGGGCTCTTAATTTCTCCATAGGCTGCGTCACATAGCTAACTCTACACAGGTAGGTATGAGAAGGGAAAACCAAAAATACAGCATGTGTGGGAGAGACCAAAAAGTTTTAAGAAGGAAGAAAAGGCTTTGGAGAAAAATAAATAAATAAAATGAATATCTGACAACCATTACAGTTGAAACCAGATATGTACTTTGCAAAAGTTTAGCTGCAGCAGAAGATTCAGCTATTGAGACAAAGCTATCAAGGCCATGAAAACTAACAGGAAATCCCTCCCAAACCACTAAAGGCACAAGGGGCTCACAGAGCTGAACAGAGAGCAGAGTTAGTTGGAACAGATCAGAGTTGAACTGTTGATACAACTCTGTGGTTATTAGAGAGGATGCAGTCTGTGCTGGATTTCTACTGTCTAGTGACATTAGAAAAAAAAATATTGGCCATTCTTCAATCGCAATCGTAGTTTGTTGTGATTTTGTCTAGATACAGCAAACATAATGTTATAAATATTCCAATTTAATATAATTTAAATGTATTAAATAAGAAAACTGTAACTGTTTGGTAAGAATGTTACGACTTGTTTTTTTTTTTTTTTTTACAACAACCCTACTGCCAGAAAGACTTTCAAACAAGCTCACACAAATCTCCATCAGCTTTTCAAACTGTTGTGTTTGCACATAAATATTCAAGAGAAACAGAGCAATACGACTATGAGGCACTTGAAAAATATCTGGGTTTTCAGTGTACAATTAGCCGCTTGCAGTATTGAACAGAGGGTTGATATGGGTGGGTGGATTCAATCATACAGTCTGCTTTTGGTTTAGAAAACTAAATTCATGGGCTAAAAGGCATAAAGCTGTGTAAAGCTGTGTTTGATGGTAATTCTCTGCTGGTTAAGCAAGCAACCTTAAGACATTACACACCATTTGGCGTGGTATTAATACTAATGCAGATTTAGACAATTTGGTTAATTCAAACACTGATGAAATATGTGAATATGTATTTTTACAGAAACAGTGTTTTGCTCAATCCTTCTGAAAGAAGTGGCAACATGCTGCCACAGTATCAACTACAGTATAAGCCATTTATTTCAGCCAACAATGACTGGGAGACCCTAATTTCCCTCAGACAGATGGAGGGGACAAACCATAAAGCACGAGCAGAAATCATTAAGTCAGCTGAAACCCTGCAGAGTTATTTTAATTGTGTGCTCTGGAGCTACAGTATATGTAGCTTACCTGATTGCTGCTATAACTAACTGTCTTCACAGAGACAGACAAGATCTTTTGTGGACATTAAGAGAATGATTTGTGGTAAGAAGGTTCCTCAGGGAGAGGACGATTGGGAGAAATACTGAGGCAAGGAATGGGGAGACGGTTCATCGCGGAGCGAGCAGATTGGACGATCTCAGCTGGAGACAACCTTGTCCAGCAGGAGAGGATCGAGCACCTGGCTAATGCTTCCATGGCTCATAATTTACAGGAGGCTTGCCACTGTGTATGGTTACTGTTGTCAATGTGACACCCTACAGAGTCCTGTGTCTGTGGTCCCAACCTTCCATGTGTGCGTCAGTCGGAGCACTTATTCAAAACATTAATCAATGGCCTTTCAACGGCTAGCCTGCAGTGCTGGTGTATCAGTCGCTGAATAATGCTGAGCAATGAGTGAACGTGAGCACACACACAAAGTGCCAGATTACAAACCATATGAAAAAGATATATTCAGTGGTCATGCACTTAGATTTATGAGGAAATGCACACACAAACACTCAGCCAGGCCCACATTGACAAAAGGCACTGAGATGGGCACAAAGACAAACACATCTCATGCTGAAAGGCTGGACTAGACTTGCATTCCCTGTCTTACGTATAAAGGCATCAAATTCTGTTACAGAACATAGTCTGCCAAGACTCCCTACTTTGACTGATGTACAAGCTAGTAAATCAATTCACTTAAAACAAGCTTTACCTTAAGCTCCCAGAGACTACTTTGTGCCAAGTAACTTTACCATCAGACCTTAGAGCTTCACTGTCTGGCAACAACCTCCTGCACACTACAGACAGGTCCAACTGCAGTAAAACGTAATATCAGTACAGACGTATATCACGTTTAGCAGCAAGTCATCTCAGAGAAGTGTAGATTATGTTCACACATCCTGCATTTCTCTCTGCCATTTAAACAGTCTAAACACTTAATCTTGTCAAAAGAGACTCTTAATAAACTGAGAGGGAAGCCCTGTGTTGCCCTCAGAGAGAAACAAATGTGGTTTATAGCAGTGATGATCTGCAGCATCTACCCTCAAGCTCTAATACATATTTATACTCAAATCTCATTAATCAGTCATGCACAGAAAATAAAGGATGGCAAAGATGGAAGCACAGAATCTGAACTGGGGTCACTTCAGTGAAAACTGACAAGTCGAGCACAATAATGTGCAGAGAGCGCATTATTGTTACACAAAATAATAAATGCATGAGAAACAGTGACTTCACAGCAATTTGTGGCACTTCAAGGTGGAATATATCATTTACCAAGTGATAAAATATGAATTAAAGCATTGGAGAAGCTGAATGAAAGATGCGACCACATATGCAGGTGTGTGAAGGAGGTCTTAACACACTGTGTCCACTTCTTTCATCATTTTTCACAGTCTCTCCCAGTGTGGCACGACAGCCTAAGCCGCACCGTGGTGTGTGAATTTATAGGCAGAGGCAGCTGCATCACCAGCGCGTCAAGGAGACTTACCTGTATTCTTCCTCGGTGAAGATTGGGATGCGAGAAGGCTGAAGGACAGTGATCTCCACCAAAGTACTGTTGGTTTTCACTGGCTCCCCATCATCATAGGCTATGACAAACAACTGCAGCGGGAGAGACAGAACACATGTGAATGCGAGCACAAAACTATTACACTTTTTTTCCATATACTATACACATAATTCCTATTTTGAGGATGCCTTTTTTGTAGAATTAAGACAAACTGGAAAAACTAAGATCTGGTGAGAAGCCTGCAAAGCTTCCACAAAGTAAGTATGAATGTATTGATCTGTATTCACAGACTATGGAGAATGAGGCTTGGAGGGAAGCAAGGGGAGACAGAGGCAAAATGAGAATAAGCAGATGAATATTTAAAGAAACAGAAAGGAGGAGAAACAAGAGAGAGGCTAGAGGAAGACAGGCTTCCTCAAAAAGCAGATAATTTTCTGCAAAATCTACAGTAGTATCTACAGTATCTTTAATCTCTCTCTCTCAGCCAGAGCATTGTTCCCACCTGCTTTAAGACCACAACCATCGTCCCCCTTCCCAAGAAGAGCCCGGTCATCTGAACGACTACAGGCCAGTGGCACTCACCCCAATCATTATGAAGTGTTTTGAGAGAGTGGTGCTGGCCCGCATTCAGAGCAGTATACCGGGCACCCTGGATCCCTTGCAGTATGCCTACCGGCCCAACAGGGCCACCTCAGACCCCATCACGGCTGGCCTCCCCCATTCCCTTCTTACCTGCAAAA